TACAAGTAACAAAATTTTTAAAAAATAAGTCAATGAATGCATTGTGACAAACTATTACAGATTTTTTTTTGTACAAAACAAAGTTTATCCATTAATCTTTGTACTTTTATTTGTAAAGAATTTATTTACAAAAATTGCTGTATCATTGATAAGAATGAGGCTGGTCTTTGATGTAGGTATACCCATCCAGGTAAATATGTGTATTGGCTTAAGGCTTTTACTTGATCTTTTAATTAAATGTGGTCATTGGATTTCGTCCTTTTGAAGGGTTCCTATTGTATGTTAATTAGATTTAATCCAGCTGGAAAATGAAAACTTCAAAAGAGTTTTAACTGTTGTTAAATTTTAGATAAATTCAGAATATATAATTACAATCTATTAGAAAAATCTTTGTAGAACACTCATGTACAAGTATTCTGATTTGTTAGGGTGTTCTGTATGACATATTCAATACTTTGTCATTTCCTTATGAAAATTGTTTGATATTTTTGGGGTTGTAATTTAGGACTGTATTAAAATCTTAGAATTTTCTTTTGATTTACATTTTGTTTGGTTATGTTCTCTTCCTGACTGGGTTTATCAAGTACACAGTTCAAAACAGTTTGTTTTGGAGTGGGAACAAACATTTTGTAAGTCCTTACAGATAAACAGAGGCGGATTTAGCGGGCCAGGGGCCAGGCCCACCCTTTTTTTGGAAAAATTTGGTTGATTATATAGGGAATCACTGAAGCATGACTGGAGTGAAAATTTCTGGATCCACCACTGATGAATTTGTTTTCTCAGGTGCATAGAAAATGACATTTTTAACATTAAACAACAGTATTTCAATGCTAGCATCACATTATTGTCTTTCAATTCACTTTTCATGGGTTAAAGAAATTTTGCTTGTTTTTTTTCCAAAAGTGATGATGTCTTTGCTCATTGTTGAAGGCCATATGGCGACCTATAGTTGTTAATTTCTGTGTCATTTGATATCTTGTGCCTGTGGAGACAGTTGTCTCATTGGCAATCATACCACATCTTTTTTTATATATTTGAAGAAATTGGTTTAAAGTTTGTGCCTCTTTTGAATGTTTGTTTGTACATTTGACAGTGAGAATAAATGAGGTACTGGCTGTAAAAATGTGTGGTGTGTTCTTCTTTTATTTTTGCATTTTTCTTACTTTTCCACAAATAACCAATGGTTCATGTGTAAGTAAATAGATATAGGAAGATGTGGTATGAGTGCCAATGAGACAACTCTCCATCCAAGTAACAATTTATAAAAGTAAACCATTATAGGTCAAGGTACGGCCTTCAACACGGAGCATTGGCTCACACCGAACAGCAAGCTATAAAGGGCCCCAAAAATTACTAGTGTAAAACCATTCAAACGGGAAAACCAACGGACTAATCTATATAAAAACGAGAAACGAGAAACACGTATGTAAGCATGGGTTATAGACTTTCTGCTCACATCAAGGATTCTGTTCCATATTTTAAGTCACATAATTGCTTAGTTGGTGCAAGTTTTGTACATGAAACATGTGATATTCTCAAGCATAGCTGTAAATGTGAAGACATTTCCTTCAATTGATCTTTGACATTTTGACCAGATAATTTAATTAAAAATCACTATTTTTTTATGTGTCATCTAAATAGGTGACTTCTTTATTTTTTATTTGACCTTAAACAAGGAAGTTATTAGAGGAAATTTATAACAATGGTACTTTGATTCCCTCAAGTGAAGGTGTCCTTTAATGATAAAATAAGGTCAACAAATAACATAAAAACACTACATAACAGGGTCCGACACTTACGGTTGTCCGATTGCCCGGGGCAAGCTAATGCCGTATTCGGACAAGTTAAAACATCATCTTGGTTGTCCGATCGGGCAAGTGAAAAAAAAAGTGTTATATGATTAAAATTTCACAAAATCAATAGTGTCTGTTGTTTTTTCCATAGATTACTCAGTGATAACACCGCACGGTCGAGTAAAGTGGTCTTAACCCCCCTTCAATGCGTATATTTCGTCAATTGTTCGCACTGAATTCCCCATTTTACCAAAAATAGATCACGTTTAAAAATATTGGCCAATCAGGCGGCCGCGGCGTTGCTTCGTCATTATCGTTATCCATCGGGACACCACTCGGGCGTTTCCGACGCACGTGTTATTCCCACCAACCAATGGAAAGCGGAGGTCTATTTTCGTTGTTCTAACTTTATAATTTGACATCGGATGTGTATTTCCCTAAGATGGAAAAACGTAAAAGCTTGAAAGAGAAAATAAAATTAAACTTTAACAAATTTGTCAGTTGTTGTCAGTTTATCAAGAAGGGTTATTTGAAATGGCATTTCTTAGATAAATTATTATGAAATAAGTATCTCTATGTAAATGATCCAATTCCCGTATATTCATCGATCTTTTCCCTCCCTCCTCGGCTCATATATGCCTCATAGTATATTTTCATACTCCATAATCAATTTACACCCCATATACATGATAACTATATTTTATCTGCATGTACTACATTACAACCACAAAAATATCATGTAAAAGTTTGGGCATGTAGATTTCACTTTCGGACAAGTAAAAGTAATAGGGCACTTGCCCAACTGGACAAGTTGGTATAAAAGTTAATGTCGAACCCTGCATAAGAATAATAAATATGACTGCATATAGAACACAAAATTTGAGAGGATCTACTTATTCATGTTTGGAAGGTCACAGTTGAAGGTCAAGCTTAGTAGTTGTATTAAGGTCAAGGCCACAAAATTTATAGTCTGATCAAAAAATGACTTAGTCAAACCATCAAACTTACAACTGAATTAAAATAGAGATCTTGAGATATGTATGATATCTTATCATGGTTAAAACTGCAGGAAGAAATGACTCAAATTTTGTATAAGATTTAAATAATGTATTGAATTTCGATCAGCAATGCTGCATATAAAAAACTGTTCAGCTTAAAACAGGATTTGTAATATGATCAGATATATAATATTTTGAAATTTTATTAGCATAAAAAAAAACTATTCAGCTTAAAAACAGTCAATTTTTAATGATCCACCATATCAATTGTGACACCATATTGTGTCAGCTGTCTTCTAGGTCATTGGTTTGACTAAAAACCAGCTGTATATTTTGTCAATATAATACATCCATGATCAGGCCATTTCCATACATAAAATGTAAGCGATATCTTCCTGGTTAAATTACTTTGTGATGTACTGTACACAATTGACCACTTACAAAAAGCTTTGTTCTATTAGAAAATAGTGCTTCAGATTTTTTAAAGCAAAAACCAATTCTAAAAATTAAGATTGGAAAGATATGTCAGTGGTATATTGTACTGCTCTGGTCAAATATAGAAAGCTTTTCAGGCTAATGTGGAAAGAAATATCACCAGGGATTCATTTCAGGGGTATTCAATTCCATTTCATTAGAAGGTCCATATAGGGATTTCTGTCTCCTGTAAACCAGGAAATAACGTTCATGGCAGTTTTATATTAATGTTTTTTTTGCTGCAATAGCACATCTATATGAATTTGAAAAGTTAGTACCTTTACAAATTAACCCAGATGAGTATTATATTAGACATTTTCAATTTAGGACTGTGTTTAAAAAAAAACCAGCACAGATGTTTTTGACAGGGGGCAGCTAATGTAATCTTTTATAACAAATTTACAATATCAACCTATTTTTTAACAAGAGAACAATTGACCTAATGAACAAAGGAAAATGAATGGATCTTGCCCATAAAGAAATGATGGTTCTCTTTGCTGATTCATCAAATGTCAGACTCAGATATCTACATGTTGTAGCAATCATCTTAGTATGAAATGAACACAAATAGCTTTGATAGAGGATCAATATAGCTTTTTGAAATTGGATTACCATTTGAAAGGTGATGGAAAAAAATCTCAATCATCAAATTGTCTCTTTTCTTGTTTTATTGGTACAAATAGAGTGAGACAGGAAAAGGATAATTGTGTTATTGGCCTGTTCTTTTTTTTGTTGTTTTTATTGGCATTGTCTGTTGATTTGATTTTTATGGATCAATTTTTAGTTGGTCTCTGGAGAATTGAGGAAAATGACATGTTTATTTCTTGTAGCTTCATTAATATTTGTGTAATTATTCTTTATACCAAATTTATATGGTATTCAGGCAATTGTTTCTTTAATTTGATATGTGGGGGATATAGATTACATATGGTTTTTTTATATATATAAAAAATAACATATATATTCTAAGTATAAACCATGAATCTTACAATCAGATGTAATTGACAATGGTTCATAATGCTAAAATATCAGCTTTTTGCAAATTAAACTTATTTTTTTCCAAGGAGAGTGTATGGTTTCTTTTTTAATGAATATATCATGATATTTGAAAGACAATGCTTATAATAAATATTTCCTTGTTAAAAGTGAAATTAAATATTTTTTTGTTATTTTTAAAATCTTATTAGTTGTTTATTTATGATTGAGATGTCTATCTTAAATTTAAAGGACAACAGAGTTCATTATGTCAAATCTGGTTTCATCTCGGCTTTTCAAAAGACCATTGTTTGTTAAGTTTTCATTTCATTTATTCAACAATTAAATTAGTCTTAAGAATTTAATTATCTTTTAAAATCTTGTCTATGTTTGTCTTAGCTAGCTGGGGTAGACATAAGAAAAATCTGATATGTTTATTCTAAAATAAAAAAAAAATCTTATCAACATAAGTCTTTAAATTCTGTTCTTAGTTGACACTAACTAAATCTATTGAGTACTCATGATTTGGCTTTAAAATAATGTAATTTGATGAGGAATTTTATTAATTTTAATTTCTGATGTGACATTTCAATAAATTAAATTTTTTGTGGAGGTAGTATTAACTGTATCAATTTGAGACCTTAATATACATCTGTGTAAACAATTTTGTTTGTGGTAGCGTTCTACCTGGATTAACTTGTGGGTATATATACATATATACAAATTTACCTATACGTTTTTCCATGAATATTTGTTTGCTGTTATTGAAAGGTATACAAAGTGTCATAGAGATGACTTATTAATCAGCTGATTGTGTGAAATATCAGAATTTTTGTGTTTGAAAAATTTCACAACTAACAGCTGACGTGTGATTACCGCCACTGGATAAACATGACAGATGTCTTTTGACAAAGGAAATTACCCATAGAAGGTGAAATATACACCTTGGAACTGTCCATTTGAGTGGTCGCTATTGAAATTTCTATTTGTGTATACTTCAGTGTAGAGTAGCAAACAAATATTTGCAGACTGGAGAGTTTAATGGGGAGAAATCTGAAATTGGACACCATTGACCATTGGTCAGATTTTGATTGCTGAAACTGACCAGTGTATTCCCTGATGCCAGTCTGACACCTCTTATCAACAGGAGAGATAATAGTGTAACAGATAGATTTTTACAAACTTGTATACAAAGGAATTGATTTTTTCTGCTGATTTTATTTGTTGATTTGCCACAGATGGGATAAACACCATGATAACATTGATTGCTAGTGGACTAAATGATTGCTTGGCAAATAATGTTGACACCTCAGTAATAATTGGACAAATCTCTATTACATCCTAGAACATCATATTCACAGTTCCAGATTCCTGCCAGGCTATTGGTCATTTACGGCCCTGAAACTATAATAAGACACTTTTGACAAGTAATTTACAATAGTTTTGTGAAAGGCTGAAATTTCATATTGTTTTGTGAAGTTTACATATATGTAATTGGAGTTTACCTTGTTGTGGTCATTTTGTAAGTCACAAAAGGTCAATTACTCAGCTGACATATTTGAGTGATTTATTAAGATTGCAATTTGGTGCTGGGAGGATAGTTATATATAAAGAGAGTGCAATTATTTATATCAATAAGAGATATTAACACTGCAGGTTATCTTGACAATACATAAACCTTATTGAATAACTTCGCTATGGAGAATTACTTGAATTAAAAAGTCAGCAACATTTATCGATTTTTTAAGAAAATTATGATTGAAACTTGGAATTGATGTTCTGGAAGAAAAAAAACTATGATTTGTGGAATTTGAGTTAATCGCACAATTATCGCCTGTCGTAACTCATCAGGATTGTTGTAGTATAAGGTCAGTGTGGAATTCGGGCAATAATTAAAACAATATTGACCACATATTTTGAAAATGAGGTTGTAGTTTTGGAATGATAATAGAACACAGGGATTGATTAACTAAGTATTTGCCAATTGCTGTGGACACGTTGGTCATTTTGGAACCATAGCATGACAGGAGCTTACATACTGTAGGATTAATACAGACAAAATCAACATGTATATTTGTATCACTGGGTAGGTAGAGTATTTAATCATTTTTATATCTACCCTGGATTTAATTTGATTGATAATTTTAATGTAGATTTGTTTGCAGAGGTTTGAGATATAGTAGGTCTATAATGCCTCCAGATGACTTGGACAAATATGTCTCAATTTAATATACCTTCAAAAATGTTACATGTAAACCTGATAGTTTTGTAAGTGGACCCTCGTTCGTTCTTCACAACTCTGGGGGAAAATGCAGAAAAGATGAACAGGTCCTATGTCAATGCTGTATTTCTTGCTTATGAATTGAAATACACTAAACTGACTTCTCTTTTTCCAAGATGAAATTGACAATTCTTTTAAATGAGATAGTATTTAAAAATTCCCTAGGTTATTTGTAGCCAAATAGCTGCATTCTCTTTAATGTTTTTGCCAAAAGAAAAACATTTATAGAATTATAGCTCATATATCAATTTGATCCCCTATAGTATTTTTAAAGATTTCCTAGTTAGCATTTGTTGCCAAATAGCTGCATTCTCTTGAATTTTTTTGCCAAAAGAATAACATTTATAGAATTATAGCTCCTATATTAATTTAATCCCCTATATCACAAAATATGAATACTAGGACTAATGTATTATATTTCCTATTCTGCCCACCCTTCTTCATAATTTTTTCTCAATTGCATCTACAGTCCTCATATAATTGGATTATTTTCTCATCAGGTTTCATTGTGCCACATGCAGAGTAATTAATTAGATGCTGCTGGTAATTGCAATTACATGTAATTATGCTAATTAAGTTGATTTGAAACATGTCAAAATACACTGGAGATATAAGTCATAAGTGTCAAGGGTTCATTAATTCAGGTTTAGTTGGTTTTATCTTAAATCTTGCATCTTGTATGAACAAAAAAACTGGAGTGGTAAACTAATTTCATTAAAAAGTAGTCAGCCTCAGGCACACTATATATTCATGTGTTCAATTTCCACTTTGACATGTTGACACATTTTTTTATGGATGATGAAAAATTACTTTTTTCCTTCTAATGTGCATTCAAAAATGTTATAACTTTAATCAATTAAAAGCCCATTTTTTCATAAATTAACATTTCAACTTTGGTCTGTCAATAAACTCATCATAGATACCAGGATTCAAATTGTGGTCTGAGTGTCAAATTATAGATCTTAAATGTGTGCCACCATAGAAGTTTACAAAATAGTTGCTTAATAAAATTTAAATTACAGTTCATTCATTCCATTAAAAACATGTTTGATTGTATCTGGTTGAAATGCTAATTGAAGAATGGATCATGTTTGACTGATGGGAAAATATTTACAGAAATAAATTTGCCATTACTTTTATTTGTTCCTGTAAAACCTAATGGTTTATTTAATCAGCCTGATGTTTTTAACACCAATAAAAATCAGCTCTTGATAATGCTTTCTAAATATTTACATATCAATATTTATCAAAGTCTACTTTTTACATACATATACATTGTATGGAAAACTTTTGCACTCTTTCGCTCTACAATTAACATAGTAAACTGAGAAGGTTTCACTGAGGTTCCCGTTTTATATAAATACAAAAAGTCCTCTGTCGGTAGATGTGGAATTTGTTTTTTATGTTTGATGTTATTCTATCAGAACTTTGTTAAGGAAAAAATCTATATGCGACATACCTTACAAAAATATTTAATCAATACCATGGCGACAAAAATTTGTCCAGAATATTGGTCCTTAGAAATTATTGTTTGGGCTTACATAATGCATTTACAGGATTTGGAATATTATGGTTAGAGGAATAGACATATCTTGAAAAGAAAACCTGAAGAAAATTGACGCCATGAAATAAAACCATTTAAACAAACCTTTGCTTTTTAGCTATTATATCTATCTTTTTAAAAGAAGCAGATTACGCCAATTATTATTAATACAACTACAGAACTAAGTAATTTGTGGCACTTTTTTGATAGAAGGATCATTAAGTAGTACTAAAATTGTATCCAGCAAATAGTTCTTCTACCTAAACATGAACATTGTTACATGCAGCACCCATTTTCAGAAAAAAAGTTTAAACAGGCTATGATTAATCTGGCATACATTTAATAGTACAATTGTCTGCGTTTTTCTTCTAACAGATTTTTATTCTCATCATTAGACTTAAAATGCAAGGTTTGCACATTCTTAACATCTGATTAAAATATTCTTACATAAAAAACATAGATGGATAACAAGATATAGAACCACTTTTATTTGATTGAATTGGATTGACTTTTAAGAATTGCAAAAAATACATCACTGACAGATACTGTAGATGCTTGAAATAGAAAGATAAAAACCAATAAACCTGTAATTTAGAAAAGAACATATTGATTTTTAGAAGTGCTTCATATTCCTCAGAAGGCAATTAAAATGGGGGTAAAATTCAACTTCGCTTTCATTTCTAAAACAAAGTTATATCATGGAAATCTTAGCTTACAGTTCTGTGATTAAAAATGTGGAGTAATTATGTCAATTAGACAGCAACCTAAGAAGACCATAAAACCAAAACAGACATTTAGAGGTCTGAACAAACAGTCTCCAATGTCAGACATCATGTAAATGTCAAGCTTAAAATCCCCAAAAGTCTAAACGAGTACTGTGAATGAATTCACTAGAGACAATAAAAGATCTGGTTTTAGTTCTCTCTTTTCAGCAACCAATGATAATTGATGCCAAATGGGTCCTGAGTCTTGTCAGCTAAGGACAACATACTATTAATTAAAAGTAAATTTTAGCTTCTTCCTTTGAATTATAAAACCATACATATAAGTAATCATTGGCTCTTGAGGACTGGCTTGTCCTTAGCTATTCCTGGGATCTTTTAAACATGTAGCTCATGATTATAACTGTCTGCTAACTGTTAGTCTTTGAATCAGTTTAGCTTGGAAATGTGACTGTGAGTTTTAAGGACTTATTAAAATCCGGTCTCGGACAAAAAGGATTGTTTTATTTTGTTTGAAGGTAAAGCATCATGTTATTGAACTTAAGTGAATAATTCATCATACATGTACCAAGTATCATTAATAGTTCTCATTGTGGGGTCCAAAATGCAAACATTTGAAGTAGAAATTATTTCTTTTAACTCAAATTTGAAATTCAATTGTTTATTAAATCAATGATACATATATATATTTATAATAGGAGATTGTTGTGAAAATATAAAATTGATGGTAAGTGTACTTAGAATGAGTTCAGAAACATGCTTTTACAACTTGAAAGCTTTTGTGATTTACATTATTTAGATGTTTATTGATATTTTATTGAAATTTTATTCCTTCAAATATACTGTTGGAATGCTACAGTTAGAGGTATATAATGCTAGAATTCTTTTGTATCTGATCAAATTAAAACACCATAGATTGTAATAGGTTTGTGATGGGACATTATTACCAAAGTTTAAAAGCTTCGTTGACCATAATGATGGGCTACTTATATGACCAGGGGGTAAAGAAATAAAGTTTTGTACAGAGATAGGGAACAGAGGGATAGAGAGGTACTGTTAGATACTTTGCATAACCCACCCCTATTAATTTAAATTTGAAGGTGATAAATGACTTTGATGGGAAAATAATTGGCGGGTATATAAACCCGCTAATGACTCATCAACAGAGAGATGTGTTTTGAAACATTCTGAAAGAGCTAATGACATGGTTTATTGGTGACGATAATTTGAATGTGGGGGGAATGTAGACTGTAGGTTTGAAATAGTGTGAGAATACTTACGTAACTGTGCAAATTTTCGATATTTTTTGCACCTTTTAAAGCAATTTATGCTAAGAGGATCAATAGATATGCATATTTTTTAAATGTCATATAAGATTTATGTCTATTTCAAATTAAAAACATGCTGATGATATGATTAAAAATCGTGGCATAGATTTTATGGATAGAATTAATTTTTAAGAATAAAAGATGCATTGGAAGAATTTAATTTTCACAATCAATCAAACCGTTTGATTAGTAATTTGAAAATATTAATGATGCATGCACCTACAAATCATTATTTGCATCAATGCATGCAGATTTAGATTTCTCAAATCCATTTCAATGTGAAACTTAAGTCCCTATTTTCACATGAGAAAAATATTGAATGATTTGTGTGGGTAGAATTAAATGACATCTAGAGTTAGTCAGAGGGGCACCACATCACCATTCAATCACTAATGTCATTGTCTGGGACAAATAAGACAATTCAAATTTTTCTAAGATTATAGATTATACTTGAACCTTTCAGATGAAGAATCAAATGAAATATTTCTCTCCTATTTTAGTTGGGACATTAAATCCAATGTTTTATTTGTGGGAGAGACACTAACTGCACATGCTTTTTACAAGAGTTACATTCATTGCAAAATCTTGTTTTATTTACTGTTTTCAACCAGACTAAATTCAATATTTAATGCTGAAATTTATGCATGGGAATTTGCAGACATTATATATTAGAAACTCACCAAAGCACTTAAAATCTGTCAGTTTTATAAGGTTACATATTACATGGTGCTGGCAGAGGCTAAATCAAGTTGTCTTGGATCATTGAATTTGGTACAAGAGATTTCATTTGATCTAGAACTTTATATAAGGACTACAGCAATTATGAAAATTAATGTAGCAAGTGACTACAAAAACAAATAATAATTTGTTTAAAATGATGACTGACCTACAGTGAACTAATGGTCTGTCTAATGACTGCAAGGTATGGTTTTTATTAGGTCTTCAGACATGTACAAATTACTAAAACATGGTTTGGTATAAGGATAAATATCAAAACAATATGAGAGAAACATTTTATATAGCTTTTCACCTTTGTTGTCAATTTTTTTCTTAAATGGGATAACTTATGATTTACATGGTCAATATAATAAAGTAAACCTGACCCTTTCCCAACAGCTCAATACCTTGAGCAAGCATAAAAGAGGGTAGGGAGATATCAGTTGTTTGCTTAATGGTTTTACTTATTTTTTCTTATACACGTTTTTCCTCCTC